CATGATCAGTTGTCTGTGGGACCATTGTGGTCCATAGGGTTTTCACTGGCTGATTTTCAGAATTAGATTTCCAGCCCTTTCTTCCTAGTCTGTCTTAGTCTGGAAGTTCCACGTGTTACTGGACTTGAATATAGACAGTAAATATGTACCAAAACCTAGGAGTCAGTATATGTGTGGTTAAGTGTGTAGGTACTCTATGACCCAGTGGCTTGGGTTACAATCCTGAAACCCCACTTGCTAGCTGGGTCTTGTGGGAACTACTTAAGTCTGTGTGCCTCGGTGTTAGGTTTGAACTGTGTCCCCTCAAAATGTGTTGTAAATCGTAACCTCTGTGCCTGTGGTTATAATCCCATTTGGGAATGGGTTGTCTTTGTTATGTTAATGAGGCAGGATTAGCCTCTTACAAATTATACAAGGAGCAAGTTAAGCAAACTGAGATGAGGGAAGATGATGCCAAGCCACATAGAGATCTCCAAGGAACCAGAAAACAAGCTAAAGAGACAAGGACCTTCCCCTAGAACCAACAGAGAGAGGAAAGCCTTCCCCTAGAGCTGGTGCCCTGAATTCAGACTTCTAGCCTCTTCAACCGTGAGAAAATAAATTTCTGTTTGTTAAAGCCACCCATTTGTGGTCTTTCTGTTACAGCAGCACAAGGTAACTAAGACACACGGTTTCTGTGTTAGTTTTTTAGAGCTGCTATAAAAAAGTCTGGAGCCCTGGTGGTGCAGTGGTTAAGAGCTGGGCTGCTAACCCAAAGGTCAGCGGTTCAAATCCACCAGCTGCTCCTTAGAAACCCTATCGGTGGTTCTACTCTGTCTTAGAGGGTCACTGGGAGTCAGAATCAACTCTACAGCAACAAATTTGGTTTAGTTTTTTTTTTTTTTTTTTAATAACAAAGTACCACAAAGTGGGTAGTTTAAAGCCACAGAAATTTATTCTCTTACAGCTCTGGAGGCTAGGAGTCTGAAATCAGGGTGTCTGCAGGGTCATGCTGTCCCTCCTAGCTTTTGGTGACTTCCAGTGATCCTTGGCCTGTAGATTTATCACTCCAGTCTCTGCCTTGACCTTCACACAGCCATCTTCCCTCTGTGTCTATGCTCCTTTATAAGGAGATATAGGATTAGGACTCACCCTATTCCAGTATGACCTCCTGTTAACTAATGACTTCTTCAAAGACCCTATTTCCAAACAAGGCCAAGTTTGTAGGTACCAGGGGTAAGGGCTTCAACATATCATTTTTTAAATTTTTTTTTATTGTATTTTAGATGAAGGTTTACAGAACAGATAGTTTCTCCTTAAACAGTATACATATTGTTTTATGACATTGGTTAACAGCGCCATGACATGTCAACACTCTCCCTTTTCTACCTTGAGCTGCTATTACCAGCTTTCCTGTCCCCTCCTGCCTTCTAGTCCTTGTCCCTGGACTGTTGTCCCTCATTAGTCTCATTTTGTTTTATGGGGCTGTTTATTCTTTGGCTGAAGGGTGAACCTTGGGAGTGACTTCATTACTGAGCTCAAAGGGTGTCCAGGGGCCATACTCATGGGGTTTCTCCAGTCTCTGTCAGGCCAGTAAGTCTGGTTCAACATATCTTTTTTGGGAACACAATTCTACCCATAACAGTTTCCTTATGTAAATCTGTTGGAAAGATGCTTGGTTTGTGATGAGCACTGGGCCAGTAATCGTTGTTCTTTTGTGCAGACAGCATAAACGTTCCCCAGAGAGAAAGATACCCACTGACATTCGCAGGCCTCAGCTGCGTATGGGGATGATCAATATCTGGTGAAGGAGAGGCCCTCTGTGCTCTCAGTTGTTCTTCTGCTCTTGTTTTAATATCCCTGCCTGCCAATCAAACCACAGAAAAGAATTTGGGGAGATATGCCGTAGGAACCCCAGCCCCAACTGGACTCAGAGTTGGACTCAAAGAAAATCTGGGTTTTCTTTTATTCTTTCTGCCTCCACATTGTATTCTTTAATTTCATTTTACCAATGCCTTTTGTGCACTCTTTGTTTCCATGAAGCATACGGGATTTGCAAAGTCGTAGCATGCAGATATGGGAGCAGTGGTCGTTCAATGGTAGAATTCTCACCTTCCAGGCAGGAGACCCAGGTTGAGTTCCTGGCCAATGCACCTCATGCACAGCCACCACCCATCTGTCAGTGGAGGCTTGTATGTTGCTATGATGCTGAACAGGTTTCAGCGGAGCTTCTAGACTAAGACAAACTAGGAAGACAGGCCTGGGAATCTACTTGTAAAAATCAGCCAGTGAAAACCCTTGTTAGTAGCCCTGGGAGTTCCTTGGTTCCTTGATGATCCTTATATGGCGTCTGTCTTCTCCCATGTGTGCGTCTCTCTGTCTATTCTGGTCTTCTTATAACTCAGAAGTTATTAGGTTTAGGATCCACCCTACACCAACTGATTGATTGATCACATTACATTAGATTGCATTATGGAAAGTAATTACATTACATTCGATTAGGTTACATTATGGAAGGTAATCTGCTCTACCAGAGGCCAATTGATTTAATCACATGTAACTAATTCATAACAGCAACTAGACTAGCGTTTGGCCAAACCATTGGGAACCATAACCTAACCAAGTTGACACATAAAATTAACCATCCACTGGGAACTACCAGGCCAGTTCTCCTGGGAGCGCTTTGTAAGCATCAGCTCCACAAAGTCAACCTTAGCTCCTTAGAAATGTCATGTCCTACCTAAGTAAAGAGGATCATTCTCAAATATGACTTTCCAGGCAAGGTCTTGGTTGCATAACTGATTTTTCCATTTATAGCCTAGCAATAAGGAGAACAGATTCTTATGGAACCTTAGCAAAGAACTATATTTCAATGAAAAGTAAGGACTTAATAAAATCTTCTGAATTTGGAGGCGAGGGGAGCAGTGGGTAAAAATCAGATATTATTTAACAATGTTTCAGTTTACAAAAGAATCTACTAGGTTGTTAACAGTTACAAACAGCTTAAGGAGAAAGAGAAAGGGCTGGCTTCCTTACATATTGAGAATGAGGGCATGGAAGACGGTCAGTGAAATAAATTGGCACAAAAGCCACGCTAATAGACTCAGACATGCTGGTGATTGTGAGGGTGACACAGGGCCAGGCCACGTTTTGTTCTGTTGTAGGTCAGGTTGCCATGAGTTGGAGCTGACTTGAGGGCAGCTCACGACAATATATTCAGAAAATCAAAGATTAGAACATCAACATTCCGGACAACCACAGTAAATATTCCCTGCCAGCTCATTCAGTCCTGTGTAATTGGTTCTTGTTCCACTCATCTTGGGTTAGCAGTGTTATAGAGCTGCCTGTTTCTCAATTGAAAAAACGTCTGGGGATCCTGCGTGAGTGCAGTTATCTAAGTGAGGCCATCAGCAGCCTGTCCCCGAGAGCGTGTTCTTTGGAGGGACAGTAGCGTGAAGTGCCTGGCGCTGTCCTTCTCTGGGGGCTCTGAGGATGACCTTCCTAAATTCACAAACTCTCACTGGTAGCTGCCAGCACAGCTTTCAGGCCAACGTCAGAGGATAGCAAGACAAGCTGTAGATGACAGCTAACACATTTGTGCCCATTTTACAGAAGATAAAATTGAGGCAGGAAGAGGTTGAATGACTTGCCCAGGTCACAGGGGTAACAAGCAGAGAGTCAAGGACTCCAACCCAGGCGGCCTGGCTTTCCACAACCTAAACTGCTACCAGAAAAGGTCGTGATGAGGATGTGCTGTGTGGCCTTGGCAAGGTCACTTCCCTCCTGGGCAAAGGCAGGTGTCGGACAAGTGTTCCAGGCTTAAGAGGCTGAGAGTCCACACTCTACCCACACCTGCCTTTTGAGGTGACGCTGGTCCATGCACCTCCTTCGGAGCAAGCCCCGAGAAGCCTGTGGCTTGGAGCCGTCCTGCCAGATGCAGATGGAGGGAATTGAACTCCAAGGTCACCCTCCTCTGTGCAAACGGTTAAGCACTTGGCTGCTAATCGAAGGGTTGGAGGTTTGAGTCCATCCAGAGGCAGCTCAGAAGAAGGGCCTGGCAGTCTATTTCCAAAAAATCAGCCACTGAATATCTTCTGGAACACAGTTCCACTCTGACACACATGGGGTCACCATGAGTTGGGGTCGACTTGACAGCGACTTGCTGGTAAATGCTAGTCTGAAAAGGCTGCATACTGCATGATTCCAACTATAGTACGTTCTGTAACAAGCAAAACTCTAGAGACAGTGAAAAGACCAGTGGTTACCAGGGGCTCAAGGAAAGGGATGGACAGGTGGAGCACAGGGCATTTTTAGGGCAGTGACACTATTCTGCAAGTTGTTGTAATGGTGGACTCATGGCATCATGCTTTTGTCAAAACCCATTGGCCTGTGTAACCCAAAGATTGAGCCCTGATGAGAACTATGGACTTTAGTTAATAATAATATATGAATATTGGTTCATTGGTTGTAACAAATGTACCACAGGAATGCAAGATGTTAATAACAGGAGAACCAGTGTGCCAGTGTGTAGGGGGACAGGGAGCTTATAGGAACTCTGTTCTTCCTGCACAATTTTCCTGTACACCTAAAATTGCTCTAAAAATATCTATGCAAATTTTTTTAAGTTAACTTAAATTTTTTTAACATAATAGTCCCCGTGAGATAATTGGAGACTCCTGTGATATCATTAAGCCAAAGCTGACAATCAGTTGTTCCAATATTATACATGATTCTCACGTAGCAGCAATGGCATGCACAGATGTGTTTATGTGGACCATCACTTGATTTTTCAAGCTGTTTTTATTGAACAAAAGAATGGAGTTTTCAAAACCTGTATAAATTGACTAACTGAAAAGATGCACATGTAATATTCTAGTGCCTGTGGTGATATTTTTTTCTTTTTAAAATAGACCTTTAGGTGGGAACCAGAGAGAAAGCACATGGGAGTTGGCATCTCCATGGAAACTAATTGCCCCTCTCCCTGCCCGCTCTTCACTGCATGCTTCTGTTGTGTTTTGTAGGTGGTCTTCAGCAAGTACTGTAACTCCAGTGACATCATGGATCTGTTCTGCATCGCCACCGGCCTGCCTCGGTGAGTGCTCGCATGCTTCCTTGTTAGAATGGCCGCCATTTTGCCTCCAGGCCTTTTCCAATTCCGCTTGAGAGGAAGGTTCTTTGAAAGGGCAAGTCATCACATATAGGAGATGTTTTGGCCTGGTTCTCTAGAGAAGCAAAATCAGTAGAGTGTACATGTATATAGAGAGAGATTTATCTCAAGGAAATGGCTCGTGTGGTTGTAGAGGCTGGCAAGTCCCAAGTCCGTGGGTCAGATGTCAGGCTGGAGGCTTCTCCTGACTCACACAGCTGCAGGGGCTAACGAACCCAAGATCAGCAGGTCAGACGGCCGGCTGCTGGCTCCCAGGCTGAGGAGGATGATGAATCCCAAGATCAGCAGACAGTACAGCAGGCAGCTGGTTCAAGTCCCAAGAACTGGAGGTCAGATGATGATGAGCTGGATGCAGCATCCACAGCAAGCAAGTGAGCTTTGCCAGAACATCCATATATATATTGGATGCAGGCCACACCCCCAAGGAAACTCCCCTTACGATTGATTGGCTGATCACATCAGATCACATCATGGAGGATGACTACATCATTACATAACTGCCAAACTACATCATTACATAACTGCCAAACCACTGAGAATCATGGCCCAGCCAAGTAAACACACAACCTCAACCATCGCAAGGGATAGAAAGGTGTGGAAATTTCAGTTGGGTTCACCTTGTTCTCAGGGGCTCTTTCAAGTCAATTGGTAAAGCCCTAGGGAGAGCTTGGCTGAAATTTCTGCCACTGCATGTCAACAGGGATCACTGTGTCCACACAGAGAAGTTCACTGGGCAGAATTAAGCAACAACTATCATTTTAAAGTCTTCTTCCTCCCTCTCTCCGTCTCTTCCTCCTTCACACGTTCTTTCTTTTCTTCATTTGTTTGTTCGTTTGTTCTTTCTTTCTCATTTATTCATTCATTTTTGGAGAGAGGAGAAAGGAGGGTGGTTGTGTTTTGGTTTTAGTCCTCTGGCCCCAAACAATCAAGCAGATGTTTTTTCTGTCTCAGGGAGTTCTACACAGATCAACATTTGGCAAAAGTTAGAGTACCGAAATGAGTTGAAGAGACCAGAATTCTACCTTATAGAATTGTCAGAATTCTGTAACAGTTGCTTTTTCCTGAATCAATAGTTTGTTTGAGCAAGTGAATTTCTAATTATTGTTGTTGTTATTGTTGTTAGGTGCCATCGGGTTGATTCCAACTCATATCGACCCTATAGGACAGAGTAGACCTGCCCCATAAGGTTTCCAAGGAGCAGCTGGAGGATTGGAACTGCCCACCTTTTGGTTAGCAGCCAGGCTCTTAACCACTACGCCAGGGCTCCTTCTAATTATTAGCATTCTAACTTTCCAATGATAAAAATGTGCCCGTTGCAATTAACTTTAAGGTTAGGATCCTGGTCAGAGAAGGTGAGAGGTAAAGGAGGAGGACAAAAGAAGTCTTTTGGGGACAGGTGAGAAGAGACTCTAGGGATGAAACTGTGTGCCTGAAATTACAGCAAGTGGCCGAGTTCGTAGCAGTAAAAATAGCCCACAGTTTGAGATATCTTTGGCACCATTTATTAGGCACTCTGCTAAGAAATATATACATTATATTATATTATATTATATTACACTATACTATATTATATATTATATGAGGAGACTGGGTAGTGCCAGAAGTTTGTGATCAGCTGCTACCCTAAAGGTTGGTAGTTCAAACCCACCCAGTGGTACCATGGAAGAAAGCCTTGATGAACTGTTTCCATAAAGATTACAGCCAAAAAACTGTATAGAGCAGTTCTACTCTGTAAACACATGGAGTCACCATGAGCAGGGCTGACTTGATGGCAGTTAACCACAATACATTATATAATATGTATAAATAATATGATATATATATATATAAAATACATATTATATATCATATTATTTATGTATATTATATAAAATCATATTATAAATATATCTCTGGAGTCTGGACATCCTCCCCTATTGCACAGATTTTAAAAAATATATCTAAAGATCAGAGCACTTAAGTAACTTGCTCAAGGTAACTACAGTTCATAAGAGGCCCCAAAAGATGACAGGCTGGAGGAGGAACACTCATTTCATCCAGTCAAAACTGTTTCATAGGAGAATTTTATGCCAGTTTAGATGAGCTCACAAAGGAACTGGGAGCAAAAAAGGAAACCCTGAATTCATCGTCCGCTGATGTAAATGTCCACTTTTATTTTACAACAGTTTTTTTGTTATTTACTAATGTAGTAAATTAGACTTCTTCCAATTCTCATTTTAAATGATTTAAAAATCTACAAAGCACTTAGAATTACACACCACCATTTAATTTATTGACAAGTGGAGTTTCAGCATTGTCTTAGGCTGGATTCTCTAGAGAAGCAAAACCAGTATAGCATATAAATATATATAGAGAGAGACTTATATCAAGGAAACAGCTCATGCAATTGTAGAGGCTGGACCATCCCAAGTCCGTGGATCAAGGTAGAGGCTTCTGTTGATTCACGTAGCTGCAAGGGCTGGCGAACCCAAGATCGGCAGGTCGGAGAGCAGGGCTCTGCTTACAGGCTGTGAAGATGGGTGAATCCCAAGATCAGCAGATAAGCTGATAGCTCAAGTCCCAAGAACCGGAAGTCAGATGAACAGGAGGCAGCGGCAGGATCCACAGCGAGCAAAAAGCCAGAACGTCTGCTTATGTTTGGACGCAGGCCACACCCCCAACGAAACTCCCTTTCAACAGATTGGCTACTGATAGCAGATGCCATCATGGGACTGATCACATATAAACACTGAGAATCATGGCCCAGCCCAGTTGACACGCAGTCTTAACCATCACAAATGTCTTGATGATGACTACCTTTGCTGGTGTCTCACAGCCCCATTTGAACTTGCTAGTCCCTGCTACTCATGTTCTTGTTCTTTCTAGGGTCATATCCCCCAGTATGATTCTATAATAGTAGACACATGACATTATGCATTTGTCAAAACCCATAAGACTGTACAACACAAATGGTGAACCCCAACGTAAACTGTATGGAGTTACTGGTTGGCGAAAGCTGTTAAGTGCTTGACCGCTAGCCAAAAGGTTGGCAGCTCAAACCCACTCAGAGGCATCTCGGAAGACAGGCCTGGCTTCACAGCCTTGAACACCCCATGAAGCACAGTTCTACTCTGTACACATGGGGTTGCCATGAGCCACAATCATCTCCATGGCAACTAACAACAATGTAAACTATAGACTTTAGTTAATAATAATCTATCAATATTGATTCATTGACTGTAATAAATACGCCGCAAGAATGCAGATGCTAATAATGGGGGAATCCGTGTGACCCAGGCCTTTGTCAAATCCACATGTGCACCCCAGAGTGGAGAACATCACATGTGAGAGCACTGTCTTGGTGTGTTTTTCAGGAACACAACCATCTCCCTCCTGACCACAGATGACGCCATGGTCTCCATTGACCCCACCATGCCCACAAACTCAGAACGGTAAGAAGCTTCCGCCAGCTTCCTCAGCTTGTTCTTCTCTTGGGGTGTTTACATCTCTACATGATACAACAGGGTTTCCTTTTTTTTTTTTTTTAATTTACTGCTGAATGTCAACCAAACATGGAAGGGTGAGAGTTGGTGGGTTGTGAAGGAGGCTTGATTAAGCTCATTTGTTTGCAGAAGAACTAGTCACTTTCCATAATAACAACAATTACTGGCACCCCCAGGGACCGTTCCTCGAATTCTATATTCAGTTTGCAACAGGAGCCCTATGAGGCGGCACTGTTATTACCATTTTACAGATGGGGAAACTGAGGCACGGGACCAGGCCCAAGTTCAAGTAGTAGAACCAGGCCCCAAAACCCCTGCTGTGAATGCCGAACTGTCTACCCTGAAAGGGCTGCAGGAGAGGCCCTCCCCAGAGCCCTTGGGGGCATTTAACGTTTACCCATTTGGACAAGCCCCATGTTATAAAAGGATGCCAGCCTACGTACTCCTGGGACCCACACCCATTGCCATTGAACAACCTTTTGGTTGGCAACCATAGCTCTTAACCACTGCACCACCAGGGCTTCAATATACAGTAGTCAAAAACCAAACCCGTTGCCCTCGAGTCGATTCCAACTCATAGCGACCCTATAGGACAGAGTAGAACTGCCCCATAGGGTTTCCAAGGAACGGCTGGTGGATTCGAACTGCCCACCTTTTGGTTAGCAGCTGAGCTCTTAACCACTGAGCCACCAGGGCTCCAGAGGAGGAGAAAGGAAGCCAGGAGCACAGAGAACCAGGAGAGGCTAGAAAGTAAAAGGTGTTGGCAGCAAATGTGTTTGTGAGTATATATAAGATTAAGTGGGACAAGCCAGCTGTGTGTGGCTGAAGAAAGGACACTGAGCAGGGCCCCCTCAGATCTGTGACCCACCCTTTGCCAAGTGACCCAGAAGACTCCCTGGCCATCTCCAACTTTGGTTGGGCGATGCAGAATTTAAGTTGTGTTCTCAGGGAGGCTGGGGTCTGGCGAGGCATTGAGCATGGAGTGCCCTCAGGACCCCTCTCTGTGGTTCTCTGCTCCTCACTGGTCCTCCTTCTGGAGCCTGACAGATGTTACTGACCATAGTGAATCCGGTCATCAGCGCGTCCTGCCCACCTGACCCACAGCGAGCCCAGCTGAGCTCACAGAGAAGCTGCCCTACACACAACCTTGCATTTCTCGGCAACTCAAGGCCATGGCTGCTCACAGCAACGTTTAAATGTTTGGGCTCCACACGATGGAATGGCCTTGGACCCCACTCAGACCGCTGAGAGGCTGCCCACACAAGCTGTGTGCACACCTGAGCACCTAGGGGTTGGGTAGGGCACCTGTTCTTCCTCCTGCTGCCCTGGAAGCCCACTGTCAACAGTCCACCAGGGTTCTGGGGACGGATGCCAGCCTCTTCCTAAGCCCCTGCCCTCCCTAGTCAAGGGCACAAACCCTCCTGAGTCAATGAAGGCTTTGGTGCAGGCATCTACCAAAAAACAGACAAGGAGATGACCAAATGACCAGTTCGTGGGAGGTACTAAATTCTAGAAAGTCTTAGCAACCACGACGGTCCTGGTGCTCAGTGGCCAGCAGCTGGCGCTGGTCTAGTCAGCTGCCTGCCCCGTGCCTTGGACGCTCCTGCCAGGCCTCCCCCACTCCCAGCTGTGCCCACCAGTCCCTCTCATTTCTTCCCCCAGGAGGCCCATCCTCCACCCCCACCCCTTGCTCTGATTATAGACTTCCAACTTCCCGGAAGGGACAGCGCTAATTGGCTCCCCAAAGACTCCAAAGGTTGTTATAATCTCAGCACAAACTTGGCCTGACCCAGATCCTGCTGCAGAAGGAAAGTGAGCCAGTGGCCTGTGGTCCCCTGACATTCCACACGGCTAAAACTGTCTCGCAGAAAGGGAAAACATCTACCAGTATGTTATGTCAGTGCAAGCTGGTGCTTTAACTGAGCTAACCTGCATTATTCTTCCTCAATTCAATGAAATTCATTTGTATGTAGAGGTATTCAAACTGGACAGGAAACAGGGGTAGCTGAGCTTGACCAACTGACCTCTCCGGCCTCGGGTGCCTTGTCAACAGGAGAAAACGTAAGACTACACCAGACGAAATGCGTTCCTGTGCCCGCGGTCTAGAACACTCTACATGTGAGAGGCCCAGATGTCACTCTGATATAGAGATGGATATGGGTATAATTATTGGTGATATAGATAATATAGGCATGGATATGGTTTTAGATATGGATAGAGATGTTGTCGCTGAATCGACTCCAACTCAAGGCGACCTTATGTATAACAGAAAGGAAACTTTGCCTGGTCCTGCACCATCTTCAGGGTGGTTGATGTGCTCCAGTCCATTGTTACAGCTATTGTGTCAATCCACCTCAGTATAAACTAGTTCAGCAAAACCAGTGGCCTTCGACCCTGGCTGCGGATTAGAACCACCAGGGATCTTTCAAAAGGCACTTGTGCCCAGCCCACTCCTAGGACCAATTAAATCTGAATTTTTGAGGAAGTTTGTAAGCCTCCCCAGGTGATTCCAATAGGCAGCCAGATTGAGGACAATTGAAAAATGTGGGAAAACCTCCGGGGCTACTCTTGCTGAAGGTTGGAGCTCAGCCCTCTAGTGACCAGAAAGTCACATCTACCTGACACAGAGATTCTCCTTCTTGGAAAGTGCTGAATAATCATATCCAGAATCCTGCTATCCAACTCTTTGTTTATTCTTTGCAAACAATGGCCCTTTCCCACTAGTCTAGGCAGCCAAATCAATAGGACAGTCGACCAGATCTTGTCTCTCTTTAGCTTACTCCACTTCGGAAGACACTTGTAGTCACTCTGCTCAGACTTGCTCTCCTCCTCATCTCCGCATCCCCAGAATTACAGTTCATCTTGTGGGCAGGGCTTTTTCTGCAGGCAGCTGGTATTGTCCACCATGCTCAGCTTCTTGTAAGTTCCACACCCACAAGATGGGCTTTCCTTGATCTCTTCACCAATTCCCAAGGGCTCCTTACTGTGGCCCCCTAGATTTTCATGAGAAGTGGTGGTCCCAGTTGCCCCATCTCCTATGCCTAGAAGTTTTTGGCTCATTCCCTGCCCCTCATTTGAAACCAATGAGGGGGTCTAACTGACGTCTCTGGCCTCCTTGACTAAACTCCTTCTTTTAGACTGTCCCAGCCAACCTCTATTTCAGGTCATTGTATCTCACGACTGGGCTACCGAATGCAAGACTTCTGGTTCGCTCCTCCATGTCTTAGTTTCTGCTGTAAAAGAAATACTACAAGTGGGTGGCTTTGATGAACAGAAATTGCTTTTTCACGGTTCAGGAGGCTAGGAGTCTGAATTCAAGGCACTGACTCTAGGGAAGGCTGTCTTTCTGTCAGCTCTGGTGGAAGAGCTTTGTCTCTCGGCTTCTGTTCCTCAATTCTTTGGCAATCTCCATGCAGCATCTATCTTTCCCACATGTGTGCTTGCTTGTCTGTGTCTCATCTGTTCCTTTTATGTCTCAAAAGTGATTAGGTTTAGGACACACCCTACACTAATATGACCTCATTGATATAAGAGAAACCCCTATTCCCAAATGGGATTACATCCATAGGTATAAGGGTTAGAATTCCCACACATATTTTGGAGGAACAAAATTCAATCCATAACACTCCAATTTTCCTTTCCCCTCCCTTGAACTTACATAGGAGCAGTTGATGATCTGTTCTGCAGTCGGCCCTGGCTTTGTTCTAACTGATGATTTTGAACTTCCCCATCGTCTCTTTCCACAGATGTAGTCAATTTGATTTCTAGGTATTCCATCTGGTGAATGTTTATAGTCACCGTTTATGTTGCTGAAAAAAGGTATTTCCAGTGAAAAGGTCGTCAGTCTTGTAAAATTCTTTCATGCTATCTCTGGCGTCCTTTCTATCACTAAGGCCATATTTTCCAACTACTGATCCTTCTTTGTTTCCAACTTTCGCATTCCAATTACCAGTAATTATCAATGCATCTTGATTGCATGTTTAATCAATTTCAGACTGCAGAAGTTGGTAAAAATCTTCAGTTTCTTCATCTTTGATATTAGTGGTTGGTGGGTAAATTTGAATAATAGCCATATTAATTCATCTTTCTTATAGGCATATGGATATTATCCTATCACCGGCAGTATTGTACTTCAGTATAGATCTTGAATTGTTCTTTTTGATAATGAATGTGACGCCGTTCTGCTTCAATTTGTCATTCACAGCATAGTAGACCATATGATTGTCCAATACAAAATGGCCAATACCAGTCCCTTTCAATATCATTCAGCTCACTAATGCCTTCAAGCATTCCATTTCATTTTTTGACAACTTCCAACTTTCCTAGATTCATACTTCATATATTCCCACGTTCCAATTACTAATTGATGTTTCAAGCTGTTTCTTCTCAGTTTGAGTCATACCACATCAGCAAATGAAGGTTCCAAAAGCTTTACTCCATCCATGTCATTAAGGTCAATTCTACTTTGAGGAGGCAGCTCTTCTCCAGTCATATTTTGAGTGTCTTCCAACCTGAGGAGCTCATCTTCTGACACTATACCAGCCAACGTTCTTCTGCTAGTCACAAGGTTTTCATTGGCCAATTTTTTTAGAAGTAGTTCACCAGGTCCTTCTTCCTAGTTCATCTCAGTCTGCAAGCTCCACTGAAACCTGTCCACCATGGGTGACCCTGCTGATATTTGAAATACTGGTGGCATATCTCCCAGCATCACAACAACACACAAGCCACCACAGTACGACAAACTGACAGACGAGTGGTGGGTGCTTAGATAGCATGAGAAAAAAATGGGGCGTATGGCAGGGCACTCAGAGAGAAGGGAGAGGGCCAGAGTGGCATAGCACATTCGTGACACACAAATGCTCCTTCTGTTTCTGATTTTAGCCAAGTTGTGATACATGCAACTCTCTGCTGGATGAAAATGGCTTTGTATGTGCAAAGATGGCACATGGACCCATCCTCTCAGTTTAGGCTAAAGGCTCCCTAGATTTTGGCATGCCTCCAGGCCTCCTCCTCCTACAGAATGTGTTTTCAAAGAGGTCTTCGAGCCCAAGCAGTTAAGTGATGGAAAAACACAAATGCAATAAAAGCTCAAGGCAAGTTTATCCCTTTCAAAGAGGGGTGGTTTATATTAATTTTGTTACTGAAGAAGAAAATGATGAAGATGCAATTCAATTTAGACTGAGCTGAGAGCTCATTCAATCATGGAATCAATATCCTGGTTCTGAGAAATATCGCTGCTATTCAGAGTCAAGAGGATTAAGGAACCAGGGGCCAAGACAAAGCTTGAGAGGCCAAGAAATACAACTCAGGGCTGTTTGGCCCAAGCGCTGGAAGATTCCTACAACTGTTGGGAGCATTTGGGACAGTCTTAAAGTCCAGTCCAGGCCTGAATCTACTTTGGCCTCAGTTGCTAATTTGGCTGTTTCCATCCCTTAGCTTACCAGATCCTGCTGATAAGTTATCTTTCTTGTGCTTTAGCAGGTTGAGATGGGCTTTGAAGGGAGATTCTGGCTCTGTTCAGGTTGACAAGAAATCCCAGGATCTTTATATGATAGAAGGGTCTCTTCAGAAGCCTATCCTTTTGTCAGGTCCATAGGGTACCTGTCCTCAGGGTCTCATGGGAGAAGTTGCTGGATACCTTCTCCTTCTCTGTCCCCATGACCACCCCTAGTCCTCTCCAATGTGGAGTCAACGTCATTCTCCATGCCACCTTCACCCATCCTCCTGTACCCCTTCCCTGCCTTTGTCCCCACCATCCTCCAGCATTGACTTAGGGGCCAAGGCACAAAGGGAAGGAGAAGAGGAGAAGGAAGAGGGCCTTACTTGTTCTTTGTGTCCCCCAGAGGAGGGAGGGAGAGGAGAAATGGGGAAGGGCAGTGGGGAAAGGGGAGGGAGGATGCAAAGGTAGCTTTCTTACTATCCTCTCTCTCAGGTCTACTGGACTTTCCTCCCTCCACCCACTACTCCTCCCTGTCAGTGGTGTTTATGGCAGGGAGAAGGATGAGAAAGTGAAGGGAAGAAGGAAAGAGAAAACAGAAAAGGAAGAGGTGGCCACCATCTCACCATCCCTCTCCACCACCCCTTCACGCCTGTTCCCTCTCCAGGCCAGTACTCAACTCCTTTCCTCCTGGGGCGTGGACTAGGGTGCAAAGCCCAGTTCCAGCACTCACTCACTGCATGTGGTTCTCAGGGAGTTCCCTGATCTCGCTTAGCTTTAAGCTGCTCATATGTGTGAACCCATGAGGCAGAGGGTTGCTGGTAGAATCGAATGGAATGATGAGATTACTCTGCTTAGCCCAGGCGTTAGGCAGTTAAAGGAGGCCATTGGCATTGATGTTGACTGAGTGCCCCTCCGGGGGTGGGAGCAGGGGGCACCCCCACCCGTGGAACACCAGCTAATTGGAGGGGCTGTGCTCTGCACTTGGTGCCACCTTTCAAACCCACATGGTTCTGAATAAGATCTTTTGTAATCTAGTCCAGGACCCAAACACCATTTATGAGGTAGTCTCTGTGAACAAATGAACCCCAGATCCAAATAACCGACTTCCAAGAGACTTTTTCAAATAGGGCCTTTTCCTGGGGAGGGGCAGGGGACTCATGAAAGGGAAGGGATGGACTCACTTCTTGATGCTCTGTGCACATTGGAGTCCCTTGTGGGGCAAGACAGGAACTCTAGACAACAATGGATTGTCTGTCCACCGCCCGTAGGGTCATGCAGTTTTAGCTCTTTTTTATTTTTATACTTTATTAGTTACCTATAGCCATTAAACCACAGATGTTACCCCCAGTTAGTCACTGCTAAGAGTTTGGAATCCCTGGGTGGTGCAAACGGTTAACACACTCAGCTGCTAACCAAAAGGTTGGAGGTTTGAGTTCACCCAGAGGTGCTGAGGGAGAAACTCCTGGCAATTTACTTCCAAAACATCAGCCATTGAAAACCCTATGGAGCACAGTTCTACTCTGACATCCATGGGGTCACCATGAGTCGGAGTTAATTCCATGACAACTGATACTGGTATCCTTCCATATTCTCTGTACTTTCTTTTTCCAGAAATGGGCTCATTATATATTACCCTGCCACTTGCTGTTTTTACCTAATAAGATGTCATGAGCATCCATTCAGGTCAATGCTTGCACACTTCATCATTTTAGCAATTTAATAACACTCCACGATATGGTACCTGTGTCAACCATCCTTGTTGATGGATGCTTAGCGTGTTTCTAGTGCTTAGACATTCAAACAGTTTGGTAACACACATGCTTTCAAAGCATGTTGTTGTTAGATGCTGTCGAGTTGGTTCCAACTCATAGCAACCCTATGGACAACAAAACGAAACACTGCCCAGGTCTGCGCCATCCTCACAATCATTGCTGTTTGAGCCCATTGTTGCAGCCACTGTGTCAATCCATCTCATTCAGTCTTCCTCTTTTTCGCCGACCCTCTACTTTACCAAGCATGATGTCCTTCTTCAGGGACTGGTCCCTCCTGCTAACATGTCCAAAGTATGTGAGATGAAGTCTCACTGTCCTCGCTACTGAGAAGCATTCTGTCTGTGCTGCTTCCAACACAGAATTGTTTGTTCTCCTGGCAGTCCATGGTATATTCAAGATTCTTTGCCAACACTATAATTCAAAGCTGAATTCTTATTCGGTCTTCCTTATTCATTGTCCAGCTTTCACATGCATATGAGGTGAGTGGGTCAGACGCACCTTAGTCCTCAAAGTGACATCTTTGCTTTTTAACACTTTAAAGTGGTCTTTTGCAGCAGATTTCTTGGCTGCCGCTTCCACGGGCATTGATTGGAGATCCAAGTAAAATGAAATCCTCGACAAATTCAATCTTTTCTCCATTTATCATAATGTTGCTTATCGGTCCAGTTGTGAGGATTTTTGTTTTATGCTGAAGTGTAATCCATACTGAAAACTGTAGACTTTGATTATCAGTAAGTGCTTCAAGTCCTCTTTGCTTTCAGCAAGCAAAGTTGTGTCATCTGCATATCGCAGGTCTTCAGTTCCTTGAGGGCAGGGCCATTTTTGTCTTGTTTACTTCTATGTCCCCAGCACCTGACTACAGTAGGTGCTCAATAAATATTTATTGAATGAATGACATGAACAAATGACATCTGAGTATATCCTCAGCTGTTTTATTGTCATAAGGGGCCATTGAATGGATTTCAACTTGTAACTAACCCATGTGACAGACCCCATCAGGTTTTCTAGGCTGTAATCTTTATGGGAGCAGATTGCCAGTTCTTTCTCCTGTGGAGCTGCTGACTGGGTTCGAACTGCCAACCTTTTGGTTAGCAGCCAAGCACTTAAAGGTTGCGCCACCAGGGCTCCTTGTATCCTTAGGTACTGGCGTTTAATTCTGATACATTTTTCCTAAATTTATTTGCTGAGACAAATTCATGTTTTAAATTTTAATAGGTATTGCTAGATTACTTTCTCCAAGGTGGTGGCAATTAATACCCCCAGCAGCCATATTTGTGAGAGCTGATTTCTCTGTGCCCTTTGTCACTCCTGTTATCAGTGTTTTAAACTTTAGCTAAACTGCTGGGTTAAGAAAAAAAAAAAAGAGCATGTTTTGTGAAGCTTACTTCTTTTTTGATTATTAATGGATATTGTCAATTCCTATTCGCTGCCTATTTTTCTATTGACTTAATTGTCTTTTTTACCCCTTTGCCTTGAATATAAGTGATAGTTACTTTTTTTGTCAGTTATGTGTTGCCAATATTCTCTCCCCACCCACTGAGGGTCTCATGATCACTGGGGATGGCAGTGCTAAGATACAAGCGCATTTTCGACTCAGTTACTGACACCATCCTCTGTTGTTCATCTGGGGGAGGCAGCTGCCATGAGCTCAAACCAAGAGAAACAGAGAGGGAGCCCACCCGCAACAGTCAGTGTCAACCGGATGCTCCACCTTTGATTGGTAGCAGTATCTGATACTGAAATTTGTTTTGTTGGCCAAGTATGCGCATTATAGAGGAAGTGCATCATTTAAATGATGTATTTAAAGTATTTACAAGTCTGCATGAGGAAGCTCAGAACGTCCAAAGAAATGAATGTAAAAAAAAAGAAAACAAACCTGCATCCATTGAATTTTAATTCATTCTAGAGTGCTTATCTCTCCAACCAGACCTGAGCAAACGTCCTTGACAGCATCTTACAGCAGAACTGTCTTCTCTTTTACAGCACTCCGTACAAAGTGAGACCAGTGGCAATCAAGCAACTGTCTGGTAAGGCTATCATTTTCAAAATTATAAGGAAAAAAAAAAGCTCGAGCCTGCCTCTGTGATTGAAAATATATTAAGTAAGCCTTTGGATCTAAAACCCTATGCTACTCCAGAATCTAAAACCTTAAACAACTGCGGAGGTTCTGCCCATGACAATCTTGAAACCCTCGGGGACATGTCTCCTCCCCTGTCCCCGGGACTTAGCACACACTGGGTGACATTCCACTCCTGTCTTCTTGGGTCTAGTGTCTGTTCTCCCCATTCAGACTGTGAGTCACAACTCCTGGCCCACAGGGTGCCTCATCCATCAAGGGTATGTTTTTTTTTTAACCCCGTTTCCTTTTGGACTTTTTAATTACTTTTTATTACGTGTGATTTGTGCATAATAAAATGCCACCACTTAAGGGCATATTTCCATGAGTTTTGAACATTTTATAGATCCTTGTAACTATCATCAAAATCAAAATGCAGAACATTTACGTCACCTGGAAAAAGTTCTCTCGTGTCCCTTCCCAGTTAACCCTTCCTCCCCCGACACCTGGCCTCAGTCAATAACTAACCTACTTTCTGACATTAAAGATTAGACTTGCCCTTTGTAGAGTTTCATATAAAAGGAATCACATCGTATCTGGACTCTTGTTTGACTAAACGTAAAGTGTTTGAGATTTATCCGTGTTGTTGCATGTATCAATAGCTCATTTCTTTTCATCACTGACTAGTATCCCATGGTATGGATGGATCACACTCACCGGTTGATGGACTTTTGGGTTGTTTCCAGTTTTGAGCTTTTATGAATAAGGCTGTTATGAGCATATTTGTGGGGACATATATTTTTTATTTCTCTTGAATAAGTACCTAGGATTGCTGGATCATGTGGTTATGTATATGTTTTACTTCATCAGAAATGGCCAGATTTTTTTTTCCCGAAGTGGCTGTACCATTTTGCATTCCCACCCACACTGTCTGAATGTTCCCGTTGCTTCACCTTCTTATCAACGCTTGGTATTGTCAGGCTTTTTCTTTTTTTAATCATCCTAATGGGTACGCAGTGGTATTGCATTATGGTTTTAATTTACGTCTCCCTAATGTTTAACGAGGAAACCCTGGTGGTGTAGTGGTTAAGTGCTACGGCTGCTACCCAAAAGGCTGGCAGTTCAAATCCACCAGGCGCTCCTTGGAAACTCTATGGGGCGGTTCTGCTCTGTCTTTCAGGGTCACTATGAGTCGGAATCAAGTCGACGGCGATGGGTTTGGTTTTTTGGGTTTTTTTAACGTTTAATGACAGCGAGCGTCTTTTATTTACTGACCATTCCTGTGTCTTCTTTTATGAAATATTGGTTCAGATCTTTTGTGATTTTTGTTATTGTTGTTAGGTTTCTTTCCTTCTTGTTATTGAACTGTGTGCGTTCCTGACATATTTGGAAATATAATTATTTTTTTTCTCCGAGTCTGCAACTTGCCTTTTTCACTTTCTTATTGATGTATTTCAATGTTTTAAAATTCTTCTCAGCTCAGCTTATCCATTTTGTTCTTTTATGGTTTGTTCTTTTTTGTGTCCTACCTAAAAAATTTTAGTTTATCCCACAGTTGTGAAGTTTTCTCCTGGACGTTTTATACTTTTAGCTTTTACATTTAGTGCTGTGGTCCATTTTGAGTTAATTTTTGTGTATGGCATGAAGTAAAAATTGAGGTTTAGTTTCCTTTTTAAAAAATTAATTTTAAGTTTTGTAAGATTGTTGGTTACTGAATAAAATTCTGAAGCATCGATACTATGCTAGGTGGTGTGTGCATAAGGCACTTATGAATTAGTGCCTCAGTTTCTCATCTTTAAAGTAGGAATATTTACACATGAGCACTAAAACCGGTTGCCATTGAGTGGATTCTGACTCATAGTGACCCTATAGGACAGAGTAGAACTGCCCCGTAGAGTTTCCAAGCAATGGCTAGTAGATTCGAACTGCTGACCTTTTGGTTCACAGCCGTAGCTCTTAACGAATGCGCCATCAGGGCTCCACATGAACACTGTGCTTTAAATTTTTTTTTATGCTTGAGTAGCTCTTAATGAAAACTATTGATTCAATGTTTTGATGGTGGATGTTAGAATAAAATATGGGTTCTAACTTTTTCCAGTATGGAAATAGCTTTTTAGCGTAAAAAGCTTATGAAGTCCCTGATTTAATAGTACAATTTTTTTTAGATTACTATTAAGTAAATCCCAGATTTTCTTTGTATTTCACCAGTTTTTCTCCTTATGTCCTTTTCCTGTTCCAGGATCCAATCCACAACCCCACATGCATTTCGTTGTGACGTCCCCCTGTCTCCTCTGGTCTGTGACAGTTTCTCCGTCTTTCCTTGTTTGCCATGACCTTGGCAGTCCTGAAAAGTCTGTAGATTCTCCCCCCGTCTGGGTTTGTCTTGATATTTTCCTCATGATCAGCCTGGGGTGTGGGCTTTTGGAAAGAATCCATGAGCACATGATATCCACATGGCAGCACTGATTTCTCCACTGTAAAGCTCCTATGTATCCCTCTCCTTACTCTATTCTTTGGAAGCAAGTCACTAAATCTAGCCTGTCTTCAAAAGAGAGAGAGAAGAATTAAGGTTTATTCTTTTCTATGCAGCTATCCACTTGGTCCTGCACTATTTGTTGAAAAGACAATCCTGTCCTCCATCGAATTACCATGACACCTTTGTGGAAAATCAATTGACCATGTATGTGTGAATCTTTTATGGACTCCCTATCCTGCTCCATTAATAAACATGTCTGTCCTTAAGCCAACACCACACTGTCTTCATTACTGTCGATTTTGTAAGTTTTAAAATCAGATAATGTAAGCCCTTCAATTTCTTTCTTCTTTTTACGGAATGTTTTGCATATTCCAGATCACTTTTATTTCTAAATACATTTTAGAATCAGTCTGTCAATTTCTATAATTTTGACTGAAATTATATTAAATATATAGAATGATTTGGGACGAATTTATATCTTGGTATCTTTATAACACTGAGTCTTTTGATTCTTGAACATGATATATCTCTCAATTTATTTAGGTTTCCTTTAATGTCTCTTAATACTGTTTTGTAGTTGTCAGTGTGAAGTTCTTGAGTATATGTTGATAAATTTATCACTAAGTATTTCATATTTTAAAGAGCCATGGTGGCACAGTGGTTAAGTGCTCGTTAGCTAACCGGAAGATCGGTGGTTCCAACACACCAGTCTGCTTCCGTAAAGATTACAGCCTTGGAAACCCTATAGGGCAGTTCTACTCCGTCATATAGGGTCCCTGTGAGTCGGAAATGGGTTTATTTCATATTTTAATCCTATTGTAAACGGATTTAAATTTCAGTTTCCAATAGCTTGTTTTTAGTTTCTAGAAATACAAGAGGTTTTTGTGTATTTACCTTGCTGAACTCATTTATTAGCTGTAGTACTTTTTTGGTAGATCCCCTGTGGTTTTCTACATAGATGATCATGTCATCGGCAAATAGAGAACTGCTTCTTCTTTTTAAATCTGGGTGTCTTTTGTTCATTTTTCCTTGCCTTATTGTGCTGGTTAAGACATCTAGTAGGACAGAAGGTGTAAGAATAGAGATCCTTGCTTTGTTCACAATCTTGGCGAAAATGCATGAAGTCTTTACCATGAATTATGACATTAACTGTGGGTATATTTGTCAGTGCCCTTTATCAGGTTGAGGGCTTTCTCCCCCTCATTCCTAGTTTGCCAAGAGCTTTCATCATGAACTGATGTTGAATTTTGTCAAATGCTGTTTCTGCAGTATTGTAATGATCATGTTTTTTTTCTCTCTGTTCTAATTGATTTTAAGGTGTTAAACCAACTTTGCACTTCTAGTATAAACTCCATTTGGTCATATGTTATCCTTTTATTTTGAATTCAATTTGCAAGTATTTTGTTAAGGACCTTTGCATCTGTATTAATGAGGGATATTGGTCTATAGTTTACTTACAATATGTTCATCTGGTTTTGGTATTATAGTAATGCTGGCCTCATAAAATGAGTTGGGAAGTGTTCTCTCCTCCTTTATCTTCTGAAAGAGTTTACATAGGGTAGGTAGTATTTCTTCCTTAAACGTTTGATAGAATTCACCAGTGAATCCATCTGGCTTAGGAGTTTCTTTGTGGGAAGCTTTTTAATTATTAATTCCTTTTCTTTAATCACTGGGGATATTTAGTGTTTCTGTTTCTTTTGGGGTCAGTTTTAGAAAGTCGTCTCCACTTCATCTAAGTGCCATCTAAAATTGTTTTGGCATGATGTAATTCATAACATTTTGTTATAATTCTTTATTTGTCTGTAGGATCATAATGATGCCCCCCTTCTAAATATTAGCAATTTGTATCTTCTCCTTTTTTAAATTAATCAGCCTAGCTAGGGACTTCTCAGTTGTTTTTTGTTTGTCTGTTTGTTTACAAAGGGTCAGCTTTGGGCTTCATTGGTTTTCTCTATTATTTATCTGAATTCCTATTTCACTGATTTCTCGTCTTATCTTTGTTATTTCCTTTCTTCTACTCACTCCAGGTTTAATTTGCTCTTCTTTTTCTAGCGTCTAAAGATGGAAGCTGATCATTGATTTTAGACCTTTCTTTTTTATGTACCATAATAGTTTAATGCTAAAGATTTCCCTCTAAGCATACTTTAGCTATAGCTCATAAATTTTAATATGCTATGTTTTTACTTTTATTTCATTGAAAATCCATAGCTCTTAACCACGGCACTGCCAGGGCCCCTTAGTTCAAAATATTTTCTAATTTGCCTTGCAGTTTCTTCTTTGACACACATGTTACTTAGAAATGTAGTTATTATTTAATTTCCAAATAATTGGGTATTTTCCAGATCTATTTCTGTTGACTTCAAAGTTAATTCCATTGTGATTTAAAAAAAAAAAAAGACTCTGTAAGAATTCAATTTTTTTTTTAATTTATTGAAACACATGATGTATCTTGGTGACTGTTCCATGTGCACTTGAGAAGAATATGTATTCTGTTG